GGGTCACAAGGAAGGGGGGGTCAGGGATCGCAGCGTCGCGCGTCACTCTAACGAGCCGGCCGCGCCATGCGGAGTGCGTTCAACTGTCTAGAAACTGCCGTAATGCATGCGCGTGCGCCTTCTTTACCATGCGGGGCCGCTGTCTGCGGGACTGCCGAATGAAATGCATCCACGCTGCTGCTGGGGGCACTGGGCGAAGCGAAATGGGAATGTCAACCATATCGGCCAACCACGTCAAATCTTCATCTATAACCCTGGCCCAGGAGTCTGCGCGCCGCGCTGCACTATCGAGCAGAGCACGCAGCATGCGGGGGGCGCGGTGGAGGAGCTGAGGGAGGTAGGAGAGGCGGCGGAGCCGCACATACAGGCGTGCTGGAAGCACATGGGCTTCAGAGAGGACTCCCGTGGCTGGGGCAAGGCGTGCAGCATCACCTGTATAGTTCATAGTGAGGGCAGTCCTATAGCAATGCATGTACTGTTGATCTAAGAGCTCGCTCTGCTTGACGTTAAGACGCGCCCATATGGCACAGTTATGAAGGAGGCGGGTGAGACACAGAGCATGTACATAACTCATGTTACGTGCCGGGTTTAAACTGGCGGGCTTGAAGACGGACCGTTTTTAAATACCGAGAGGCCCCAACATCTGCTTACCCCGGTAGGCCAGCTCAGGGCCCATGCCAGACAGCGAGCTCAGTTGACCCCCGAGATGTTTGCACTGATCGGTGATGGGAAGCTGGATGCCATAGTTCTCTATGTCGAGTATTTGACCTGGGAGGGCGGCGAGCTGCTGCTTGGCGACGCGAACCATCTTGCCAGCAAATAGGACCAGGGCTTCCGTTTTAACTGGGGCGCAGTTGATGGCGAAGCCTTTCTTCACCATCTCCACGCGGACAACGACTGTCATGAAACGGAGGGCGGTGCGCCATTGAAGGACCTCCCTCACCGCGCACATAGTAAGGATATCATCGACATAACCTGGGCCACGGACTGGATCATCATCGGCGTCTTCGGGTTTGCTGAATAACTGGCGGGGCTGGGGCAGCACTTGAATGGGGAAGCAGGTGCTGGGTTTGCTGGAGCCTGGCGCCGATGTTAAGCTGGATGGGGCCGAACACAAGGTTAAAGAAGAAGTCGGCCAGCACCATTCCTGGGCGGGAACCTGACAAGGACTTCGCAAACAGCGGGCAACCTTTGACCTGGAACCAAGTGCGCTGGAGGGTCTGGGCCGCGGCATCTGAGAGGTGGGAGTCCACGAGGGAGTCCAGGAATCCTGGTCTAGCTGCTGCAACTTCCGGCGGGGGCATTCGGGCCTATGAGACTTCTGCTTTCTCGAGGATTATTGTGTTAACGTCCTCATCCTGGCCAAGCTGAGTGAGATCCGCTCTGAGCACGCTGTAAAAGGCGGCGCGCAAGTCGGTGAACCGGTGCAGCGCCGCGAACCCGCGGGCCTGGCACGCCTGCATGAAGGTTCGCGCGATCATCGAAGCGATATCTGTACCTCGCTTCTGCAGGCCCCCCATCATCACCCCGCGCAGGAGGCAACTAGTGGCTGGCAACAACTTGCCTCGCAGGAAGGCACGGCGCGTCTTCGCCGCGCGCGAACCCGAGAGAATCTCGCGGCACGATGACATCAACCTTGGGTCGCCCTTCTCGGGGACGTCAACCGCCAAACCTCCTTTCAGCGCCAAGGGCTCGCGCGCGCCCAGGCCTATCTCCACCAAGATCGGGCGCAGGAGGGCGACGAAGTAATCGGGATCCAGTCTGAGGAGGTCGTTTAAGATGTCATCGGGGCCCCCTGCCTTGCCTCTCGAGGTCTTGCGGATCCTGCGGGCAAGCCAGTTGAGCGGCGCGATGTTATCAATGGTCCTGGTGTGGGCCTGCGTCGGGGCATTGGAGTTCGGATTATAGTCCAGGACGAGGTCTTCCCAATATTCGATGTCGGCGTTCTCGATGTCCCCAAAGAACTTCAGAACCTCCTGGGCGAGGGACTGGATGAAGTCCCCCTGGGTGTCCATCCGAATCGGAAGGTCCATGGGGCCTACGGGGGGGCGCCCTCCGAACCTCTGGAGCTGCCGAAAAATCTTCCACTCTAGACCTGGGTTGCGGGATTCCGCTGCTGCTTCTACTTCCAGGGACATGTGCTCCAGGGCGCGCTCGCGCGCCTGCCTGAGAAGGCATTCAAAACGCCCGCCCGTGCCGCGGAGGAACTGCACGAACGCGACGACCTGCTCTGACTTGGAGAGGTGACCTGTCCTGAAACCTGCAATGGCAACAGTCGCGGAGATGGTGCGTAGCTGGAAACTGTCTGGAACAACTCATAGACAGCGACTCGGCATCTAGGTGCATGAGAGACTGCTCGAAGCTACTGCTGTCCAAGCGCCTCCAAGTCCTGAGAATATGTGAGATCCTTCTTCTATACGGGATGGTCTGCAGGAGGTCTGGTGCAACGTAGGGCTCAATGGGCATCTTGTTGGAAATCGGGAAGGCTTCCTGCGCGCGACGGAGCACGCGCGCGTGGATGTGCTTGAAATGCTCGTTCACGTCAACATGTGCGTGCACCTGCGGGATAGCGCGCACCGTAGACAGAGAGAGCTGGACCTCGTCGGGGTCTTGGAGGCATCGGATGTCATGCCGGGGCCTAGGGGCGCTGACCTCGCGCGCGCTGCTGGACAGGATCGCGCGTGCAACCGGCGAGTGATCCGAGAGCGCGCTGAGATCATCCATATCATGTAGAACAGTGTGTTGATGTACACGCGTAGACCATGCACTATCCATGCATATATAATCAATGCGGCGCTCATTGCCTTGATTGGACAGCCAAGTGCACGACTTATCTGTTGCCGACACGGACAGGGCGTTAACGGCCATGAGGTTAGACTCGAGCAGCATCGCACGAAGGAGCTCACCGCCTGCATCTTCATTCTGGCGGTAACCATGCGGGCCAATAGCGTCAGAGAGAACGTCGCCGACATGCCCGTTGGCGCCGGCGAGAATTAGCTGGGCCTTGAAATCGTGGCACAGCTCGGCGGCGTCGGCCCACCACGCGGCCCGTTCTTCAACGCCGTGGTCGCCGTGAGGGGCGCGAAGAACCCTTGGCGACCAGGGCGAGCAGGGGGGCGCCGATCTTGACAGTCAGCCTGCGGGGGTCCTCGCAGAGGCCTACCAGGTGCTTGCCAGCGAGGTACTTGGGGGCCCCGTCGACGCACGCGCAGGCAGCGCTTGCGGGGGCCAAGAGTGAGTTCACAGCCTAAGTTGCCTTTGTGGGCTCCCGACGCCAAGATGGCGAAGCCCTTGGAGGTCCTCTTGCCCGAGACATTGCTGGCTCCCTGGATGCCCGCGAACAAGTGATCCTGGGCAAGGATCTGCTTCCTGAGCAGGCCCCCGTTTCGGTGCCCCTTAACTCCCGCGGCCCCTGGGCCCCTGTCCAAGGCAGAGCGAACGGCAAGAGTCATGACCTGGAAGTTGAACGCGATCCTAGCCTTGATCTTGGCCGAGGTCGTTCCAGGGTCAAAGGGTGGTTCATCGCATCGCACGCCCTGGCGCAAGAGCGCGAACTTGCCACCCGCTTCAGAGGAGAAAGGGTACGCCGCCAGCATTCGGGGGGTGGCAAACTTAATCCAGCACCAGTCTAGGGCGGGCGCGCAGCGGAGCTCTCGGATTCAGATATGTTACCAGGCGGCCTCGGCTTCGGAAGACTTCGCCATGCTATCGGCGAGCTCGTTCCACGGGTTATTGGCACGGCCGCGAACGTGGGCGATGCTTGCCCCGAGGGCCCATTTGGCTAGCACGCACACGTGGTGTGTCAGAGCTGGGAGAGCTTGATTATTGGAGGCCCCAAACTCCCCAGCGGCTATCCCACTAGCAGAGGTTGAGTCCGAGAAGATGGTGAAGGCGGGTAGGCTTAGCTCAGGATGTTTAAGCTGAACTGCAAAAGTGCCGATTGCCCAGATGGGGGCCCATAAGATCCCACAGAGCTCCCCGGCGGTGCTGGAGAGCATGGTGTCTTTCCAGATGGTCGGGTCCAAGGAGATAGCCGAGGTGTTGGAGATGTGTCCTTTCGCAGTCCCCAGAAAGGATACTGTGCCCGATTCTCCCAGAGCTACCGCTGCAAAAGCCCAGGAACTGCGATCGTAATATTCAAATGAACCATCTGCATAGAGCTGAGCACGCCGTGGCCCCCCCTGCAACGGCAGTGAAACATCTAAGGCGAACTGCGCCGCCTGGTGGACCTCGATCCCCACCGCGGAGGTCGCGAGGGCGAAGTAGTTCGCGTGCTGCATGATGGCGTGCAGGACGCGCTCCGAGTCCCCGATGGCGCAGTCGGCGGCGGTCGGGGCGCGGCCCTCCTCCGTCTCGATCAGCGGGGCCAACCTGAGCTGCACGGGGGCGCCAGTGGTCGGAACGAGCGGCACACGGAGGTACGAGGCAGCCAAGTGGTTGGCCAGCTCCGTCTCTGGACAGGATCTGGCCGCAAGGGGCTGTCGGCGAAGGCTGCGTGATCGCCAGCTGCATGTAAGGATCTGCATGAAGAGGTAGGCCAGCCTGCTGACTGCTATGGTTACCCACTTGAGCGTCGACGGGACCACCGTCGCTTGTCGAGGCAATCTCTGAACGCGAGCAGCTGCGCTCCTCAAAGGTGGTGAGTGCGTCGGATTCATCAGCAGAGATGGAGAAGGTATAGAGCGCAGGCGTGTCGGTGGCAATGATGCCCTCATCACCTTCCACGTGGTGCGCCAAGTACTCGGCCGTTCCCCAAGAGACCCGTCGGGCTCCTCGACGGCGAGCTCGACCGTCGGGCGGAGGTCGTCCCTCGGCTCCTTCCTGGGCGGCGACAGGCCCTGCGCCTCCGTGCCACGGTCGTTGGCGGTGCGCTTCTCGGCCGTAGTCCCCGTGGGCGCCGCGGCCGCCGCCAGGGTCGCCGCCGCTGCCGCTGGCGAGGGGGCCTGGGCCTGGGGCGGCGCCTGTGGCTGCGAAGCCGCCATCTGGCTGGGGGGCACCACTGTCGGGGACGACGGGATCAGCTCGGGGTGCTGCTTGGCCAGCGCCACGTATGCTGCCGCCATGGCTTCCACCGTCTGCAGTGAAGGAGCTCCAGGATGGGTGCCCGTCGGGCCTGGGACGCGCTCCACCTCGGGATGCTTCATCTCCTGCGTCGGGGCGAGCATCGCCACCAGGGCCGCCGTGAGCGGCGGGGTCTCCATCGGGTATGGGTTGCCCGCGTCGGAGCGCTTGCCCTTGCCCTTGGAGGGCGGCGGCTGTCATGCCATCGCCGCGACCTGCGAGGTTGGCGATCCTGGCACAGGGGGAGCCGTCGGCGTAGCGGACGCGTCCAGCTGCGCGGGCGGGGCCGCAGCCGTTGGCGGTGGTGCCGGCGGCACGCGGGGCGCGGAGGGCGCAGCCGTAGGCGTCGCAGGAGCCGTGATACTGGTAGTAAGCCCCATGGCCTGAGGAGTCTGCTGGTACAGCTTCTGCAAGGCTGCGAGCATCGAGCTGTTGTACGCCATGTGGTCGAGCATCTGCTTGATCATGTCGTCCTGCGTGCGCTGGCGCTGCTGGATGTTCTGGACGGCGGAGAGGACAGGCTGCATAGGTGCAGACGAGGACGAGGCAGAGCAGGGAGGCGTGGCGACGGGTCGGCGTGCGCCTATGGGCACTGCTGTTGCGTCTCCCATGCCAGAGTCCTTCTCGGCTGCCTTCTCGTGGGTGAACTGTTCGAGCGTCTGCTTGAGCGGTTCGGCGTCGTACATGAGCGAGTCGGCCTCGTCGCGCAGCTGTGTGATCTTCTTCTGCACCTCGGCTGCGCGGGCCGCCTCCTTCTCCATCCTGATTCTGACGTCGGCTATCTGCTTGTCCAAGGGCTCCATCTGGGAGACCATGAACTTGTATACGGCGATCTCCTCGGCGGCGTAGGGGTTTTCCTTGCCCGCATATCGACTGGCCTTGATGAGCGCCGCGAGGGATGTGATGTTGTTCTTCATCTCGGCCCTGAACATCGGCTGAAGGTCTGGCGAGTCTGGCGGTTGCAAATACTTCGGATGACTGTACGCGGCCTCTGGCGTGGCCTGAAGTATCTTGCCAGTGATCCGCCCGAACTCCAACTGCTGAGCCCTCGACGTCTGTTGCGTGTTGGGGGGCGTGTCCTTGAAGCGACCCTTGGAGCGAGGCTTGGGCGCTTTGTCTCCCCACTTGCTTCCACATGAGCAGAACCACTTGTGGTTGGGCGCGCTCTTCTTGCAGCGGCTGCATGTCCAGTGTCTGTTCATCTTCTGGGCCGAATGGTGGCGCCTCAAGATGTCACGCGCCTGCGCCAGGCGCAGGACCAGGCGGGCACGAACACGTTGTTGCCGCCGACGGCGGTGCCAAGCAGGTTCTGGACAGGCACGGCGGCCTGCCCTGGTTAACAATGAGCGAGAAAGGAATGTGGCGCGGCGGAGCACGCGTGAGGTCACAGCTGCACCTGGCGGGTCACACCAAACTGCAGGACTGGTGACCGCCAGGCGTTGGAGCCCAAACCTTCATCCTCCTCCTCTTCCTCTTCCTCCTCCTCTTCCTCCTCCTCCTCCTCCTCCTCCTCCTGCTGCTCCTCCTCTTCCTCCTCCTCCTCCTCCTCCTCCTCCTCCTCCTCCTCCTCCTCCTCCTCCTCCTCCTCCTCCTCCTCCCTCCTCCCCTCCTCCCCCTCCCCCCCTCCCCTCCCCCCTCCCCCCTCCTCCCTCCCCCCCTCCGCCCTCCTCCCTCCTCCCTCCTCCCTCCTCCCTCCCTCCTCCTCCCTCCTCCCTCCTCCCTCCTCCCTCCTCCCTCCTCCCTCCCCCGCCCTCCCCATCTGTCCTCCCCCCCTCCACGGGCGGGCGCCGGGAGAAGCCTCGGCGCATCAAGCCAGCGCACAAGGTGCCCACGAGGCGCCCGCGGGAGGAAGAGGAGGAGGAGGCGGAGGAGGAGGAGGAGGGAGCGGGCCTCGGGGAGGCTAGGGAATGGGCCGACCCGACCCCATTCCTAAACCTCAGGATCGTTCATCGTCGGGCCAGACTTGGCCTGGGCGCATGAGCTCTGCCAGCGACGGGCCTCCCCGTCGGCTGGCCCAGCGCAGCCGAGCCCTCATATGCTGGCAGAGCTGTACTGGCGAGCGCACACGCTCGCGAAACGCACAATGCAGACTGCACGCTATGTCGTGGACGAGGCCGGCAGAGAGAAAAGCGGGAACGGGCAGGGGCCCGAGAGAGAAGCCGAGGGGGCGGGACGAAGCAGAGGCAGAGAGAAAGGGGGGGGGAAGCAGGGGCAGAGCAGGGAACAACATATCAGGAATAGGGCAGGAGTAATACTGTAGAGTGTCGTCACCCCCGACGGCAAACTGGCACCACTTACACCTACGGGTGGGCTCTCGGAATCTTCGCGTCGCGCACCAGCTATTACACAAGGCCCTCAGGGCAGCCATAAACATCCAGGAAGGGGCATTATGTCCCAACCTCCGAAGGTACAACACACACGCATAGATCTGGACACCAGTCGGGGGGAGACTGGTGAAATACCCGATACGCCTGCCTATGGTGGTCCTATAGCTAAGGGCTTTCAGGGCTAGTAAATGTTGATGCGTTTTCCTCTGGAGCGGTGGGTCATGAGACGGAGCACGGGGGAGGGCCAGCATCTCGTCGTAATTTTTAATCTGGCTCATGATGGACGATGATTGGACGATGGGGTGCCTCTTCCATAGGATGGCGCACTCGTCGCTCCGGTCAAATTCGATGATTTCCCGCCTGAGCTCGAAGAAGGCGGAGGAGTACATGCCATTCGAAACATGGCTGCCTTGCACGTGCAGACGAGGTCGAGGATCTGACGCGCCCCGCCGATATCTTTTCCTGGGGGGCACTCGTGATGCACTGGCCAGCTCCTCGACGCCTTGAGACAGCAAAATCGGATGGATAATGTAACTAGCCAATGAACGTGAGACAGCTAAACCCGTGCATGTTACAAATGGCAATACTCTTGGTGGGCCCGAGATACAGGCCCCTGGTAATCCTCGCCCTCGCGGCCATTTTCCTGGTCGGCACCCCCCAATCCAGTGACCGTGCATCCCATCCGAGAAAGACCCCGAGGTACTTGGCAGCCGAGGCGAGGCGAGAAGCTGGAGCCCCTGATCCCGAGCGCGCGCAGCTTCTGCTCGAATTCACTCCTGGAAGGCCTAGAACACGGTACCACTACCGTCTTTTTCACGCGCCACACAAGGCCAGCAGCACCAGCAGCGAACGCCCAAACTTCGAGAGAGAGAGAGAGAGAGGGAGAGAGAGAGAGAGAGAGAGAGAGAGAGAGAGAGAGAAAACAAAAAAAAGAGAGAAAGAGAAAGAGAAAGAGAAAGAGAAAGAGAAAGAGAAAGAGAGAGAGAGAGGGAGAGAGAGAGAGAGAGAGAGAGAGAGAGAGAGAGAGAGAGAGAGAGAGAGAGAGAGAGAGAGAGAGAGCACGATATACATCGCGGGCAATGAGGCCAACGTCATCGGCGAATGCTCGGATAGTCCCAAGAGACCGCGGAATTTTGAGGCACATAATGCGCAGGATGGGGTCGAGCGCCAGGCTGAACAAAGATCCCGAAAGCGGACGCCCCTGCTTGATTCCCCGTTTCTGAAGATAGTGGTGCCCTCGGAGTCCCGCAAAGAAAACATCGATCTGAACGTTGTGATGTAGCGAAGCAACAGCTAGCCTGACATGGGTAGGTACATTCATGACAAGGAGGACCCAGGATATCATGCAGTGGAAGAGGATGGGGAGAGGCCGTCTTCACGTCGAAGGCGGCAAAACCTGCCTCCTTGCATGCATGTTGACAGAACCAAGACATCGCCCGGGCCTCGATGTCGAGCATATGGTTAGTCATGCTGCGACCTTTCAGGAATCCTTTCTGTACATCAAGGCAGGTTTGCTGGCATGTTGAGCCCAGGGGGATATTGATAGCAGCGGGTACAGCCTTGTCGCACGTGTTGCTGAGTGCGATGGGTCTCTTACATTCAGGAGCCCGAAAGACACCTGCACCTAGAGCGTCGCTCGATTGCTCGCCCCTGGCAAGGAATACAGCCACGCCATGGTTAGAGTCGCCCCTTGGGAGCTGCTTTTGGAGAACTGTGGAGTGCGCCTGGAACAGGAGAGCCTGAATCTCAGGGCCACCGCGGTCCCAGCACGAATGCGGGATCCCGTCGGGCCCAGGAGCGCTGTCGTACATCCCTCTGAGGAGGTCCGTGAACTCGGGGAATTCGAGGTCCCAAAGGATCCCAGGAGGACATGGTTGAACATGAGGCCTCAGAAGCTCCCCGGTAGTGGCATCCGATTGAAACTCCTGGTGGATGGCCCCCCAATGTCTAGCAAGTTCACGCCCGACGTCGCCGGGATCGCGCAGCTGCTCCCCCGTCGGACCCACGAGCCCAACGAGGGAGCCCTTCTTCTGGAACTTGCCCCAGGCGGAAATGCAGGGCTCGAGGCGAGCCTTAGAGGTGACCTTCTTCGGGGGGGCCACAGGGGCGCTCTCGACGTCGTCTTGGCGCTCTTGGATCCTCCGAAGCGAGAGTTCACGCAGGTGCTCGTGAAACTGTAGTTCTGGAGTCCAGCCGGCGCCCTCGGCCTGTGCGAGCGAGCTGAGTAGCGGGTAGCAGCTTACAGCCTTGCGCGCCAAGCTGGCGTTGCCTGTGCTGACAGCTCGCATTAAACATAAGGCATAAGGGCCAGGTGACCCGCTCGTCGGCACCCCTTGCTGGGCGCTGTTCGAGTCGTCGACGAACAAGCTTTGCAGCGCCGTGAGGGGCATCTTTGGCCTCCTGAAGGGCAGCTCCGAGATCCTAGGAGAGTGGGCCAACTTCCTGGAATAGCTCTTTGGCTTCTTCGGCGAACCATGGACGTCGGGAAACCCACGAAGGAACCTTCGGAGGCCCAGGGTTGGAGCACGGGCAAACCGCGACGCACGCAGGGACGCGGTCGGGCGGGTTGCTCGGCTTGTTCGGGGTCCCAAGTACGAGGCTGTTGGGGAACGAGTCCAGGACCTGCGCGGAGAAGCGATTGGTATATACGCGGTCGATCCTCCCAAGACTGACACTGGCCTGGGCAAGCTGGGAGGCGCGGGTAAACTCAGGCTGGCGGGCCTCTAATAGCTCGGGGAACAACCTGCTAAACTCGCTGGCCAACGCGTTGGACGGGATGGCGCTGCCCCCGTCGCTGCGGGCTCTACCCTCGCCGAGGTTCGGGAAATTCCAGTCGCCAACCGCGAGGGACAGCGTGGAGCACTGATTCTTCAGCACGCGCCGAAGGCACTGTAAAACTCTGGATTGCTCGCGGCGAAGGAGCTTGTGATTGAAATCAACGTTGATGATATGAAGGTCCCCATTGGGGCCCAGAAAGGAGGAGACTAGGGAGACGCCCAGAAATATGAACTGCATGGGCGCGCTGAGAGAAGAGGCCACGCAGAGCAGGGTGAAAAGCTATCATGCAGCCTCCAGCTCCTCCACGGACGTGGAAGCTTCCAAAAAGGTGCGAATCTCGGATTTGGCGCGAGATCAGTCTCATGTCTTCTGGATGTCCGTGGACCTCATGGACGCCAACAACGCTATGTTCCCGAACAAGTCTGGAAAAACAAATATGTGTTTGGCTCGCGTTGTTTCAATCGGCGCGATGGAAGAACCAAATAACCCTCTCGAATTCCATGGGACTGCTGAAAACTTGCGTCGGATCTCGAACGGTTGTAAACTCACTCGCGCACAACTGCTGGAACTGCCAGCCAAACCCGGGGAAGACGGGGGGGAAAAGGAAACCGAACCACAGGTGGAACTGGACCCCCGCCTGGAGGAGGAACCCGAGCCCCTGCCAGCACGCCCCTGATCTCCGCGGCCTCGACCAGGATTCCCCTCCGGGGACATGGCGGACGGAGCCTCGGCCGCACCGCTAGAATCCCCAGCGCGCCCGCCGCGAGGAGCAACTCGCGAACTACAGCAGGACAGAAGAGAGCGGGCAGATGCCAGCAGCAAGTCGCCCAAACCAGGAGACGAGCACCGGCTGTCAGACGGAGTAGAAGAGGATGAGGATCGGGCCGAAGACCCAGCACGGGTGGGGCAGGTAGGCAGCGGAAGCAGCGTGCCCTTCAAATTATTCGCGGGCGGCGTGATAATTTCCTATAGCATAGCGATGCGGATCCACTCGCAGGCCTGGGCGTCGGTGATCCCAAACTCCTTGAGGGGCGCCATCTCTGGGAAGATGCCCACCTGCTCGTTGTGGCTCTCGCTGAGGGAGAAGAGCACCCGCGCATCCTCGTGCCAGGCCATGAACAGGACCCCTGCGTGCG